CGAGATGAATTGGTGTCACCAGCAACGGTAGAAAAGGCTGTGAGAAGATTGATGGATTCAGCAAAAGGAGAAGAGATGCGAAAGAGGGCAGCAGAATTAGGAGATGCAGTAAAGCAATCAGTAATGGAAGGTGGTGCTACCCACAAGGAAATGGATTCCTTTATTGCTCATATTAGTAGACAAAATATTTCATCTCAAATCTAGTTCTTTGGTCATCATTGTGGGAAGATATAATTTGATATCATCATTACACCACAATAGAATTTTCCTTTATCTTCTTTGAAGAATTCCAAGTTGTTTTGAGAATTCTCCTTTTCATTTAAGTAATGTAATCTTAATTTCCTTTTCCTTTTCACTGCTCAGGATAAAGCTCTGGAATCCTAATTTCACCTTTTCACTTTTTCCTGATTTCAATCATAAATCAATAGAAACTTCCCAAATCAAAAGATATAAAAATGTAAAGCTATCCTAAGGGTGTGTCTGGCTCAGCTTTCTTTGACTCTTTTAATTGATTTTTTTACCGTTTATTTCTAATCGTGGGACCCGCATGTGAGATGAGAAGTCAAATGTTGTGGGCTGAGTGGATGATTAACGGGTGAAAAAATAATTAAAATTTGCCAAAAAGCTCAACCAGACACATTCTTATATTAAAAAATTATGTATAAAGTTGAACGTCCTTAAAGAATCACCCAAATACCCAACTAATTTACTCACTTGCATCTACCTACCTTCCGGTCGTCTTAACATCTCAGCTATCTTTTATCTCACGTTGGGTCGTAAGACATTCCGGCGAAGCGTGTGAAGCACGCAAACATGGGATGTCTATGTATTGGAAATGGTTCTACTAGGTCAATCATAAGGTAGAAGGTGAAATTCAATCGCTATTTGAATTAGAAGCAGTCAATATTAGGCATAAAATAATTGAAATGGTTACCGTCATAACAAGTGATGGAGGAGTAACAGTGACAATTTTGTAATATATATGATTTGAACAAGTAAAATTTTTGGTTTTGCTACGTCAACAATAGGAGGTCCGCGACTTTTTATTGGACACGACCCCCTTATTATGAGGGGACTGTCGACCCCGATATACAAATATCAAAATCCTAAAATTATAGCACATTCTTTTAATCATGGGATTTTATATGTTTATCTCTAGGTTTGGTATAATAAAATAATCAAGAAACAGATCTCAAAATAAAAAAAATAAAAAATAAATTACATTTCTGACATATTCTAAATGGATTTGTCAATGCAATCTTCAAATAATAAAATGAAACCAGATGAAAACCAATAAAATGTCTTCAGTAAACAACAGCCAAAAAAAGGTGTCAAAAATGGTATGGAAGTGGCTCAAGTAGCCGTGGTAATAGTGCCGCTTCCAACACATGCATCTTCATAGGCTAGGCACCTACATGATGTGTGCATTACCTCTATCCCAACTCCTCCTGTTATCTACTGTAACGTGACGAAAAATTAATTTTTTGGTTCAACTGACGAAAAAATGGATGGAAACCATCCAAAATGGCCTCACATGTAATTGTTGAAAATGTTAGGGATGATGACTGCAACAAATCAAAAGTTTGAAAAAAGTCTGCTAATATTTCAAAAAATTTGGACTTTTGCTGCAATTATCCCTTAATATAATGAGTGAAACTAATACTTAAACGGAAATTCAATGAATTAACATTCAGTTGACTATTTTGTTAAATTTTTATTTTTAATCAACAAAGTCCTTATTAATCTTCATAATTTACATTATAATTCATGCATCATCAATTTATTATTTAGTTGACATTTATCATTTGGTTTGGAATTAATATAAGGAGCGAAATTGACATTCAATTACTAAAATAATAATAATAATAAAACCAAATTCAGTGACTTAACATTCAACGGTTTTTGCAATGGAATAAGGATGATTTATCGTGATTTCAAAAAATATTTTATCCATGCAAAAATAATTGTTGGACAACATCCTGAAAAATAAGTTTTCTTTCCGCGCAACCCGTTAACTCCAACAAATGATGATTGATATCAATTCAAATTCAACAAGAAATAATTTTCAATATATCTATGCTTGTAATGACCATTAACAAGATTTAAGGGGCAAACGGTGCCCACTATTGGAATATATATTTCTGAACATGTATTCTCTCATGGGCAACTATATGTATCGTACTTTCTCGCGGAGTTTCAATTCAAACAACAAAAATCGTAATAAAAGCAGAATATAAAAAGGATAAAAGATGTTGGACGTTGACAAAAAAATATTGTGTACAAAAAAGTGTTGTTATAATTATAGCATTACATTTAAGTTTATTCAACGTTTTCACATTGTATACATAATTTCATAAAAACTATTATATATATATATATATATTTTCAATTTCAATTTTCCATTTAACAATATCAATTACCTTAATTACTATAAAAAATAGTATTAGTACTTCAAAAGCAATGTATATCATTCATCCAATAGATAAGACGTGGACGCCACGCGCTTACCCCTAGTTTCAACAAAAAAATTAAAAATAGAAGGTGATACTTCATTTGAAAAAGACATATTCTTGATGGATTTTGCTATATAATATATACTAATCTGCACCTCTTATATGAAATCAGAAAACATTGTTTGAGCATATGAAAACCAATTACAATGGCTTCAGAAAACCATAGCCAAGAAAATGGTGTCCAAAATGTTATGGAAGTGGCTCAAGTCGCAGTGGTGATGGTGCCTCTTCCGGCACAAGGCCATCTCAACCAGCTTCTTCACTTCTCCCGCCTCGTCTCTGCCTATGACATACCAGTCCACTTCGTCGGCACAGCCACACACAACCGCCAGGCGAAGGTTCGAGTCCATGGTTGGGACCCTTCAGCCACAACCAATATTCATTTCATTGATTTGCCAACACCTCCATTCGACAGCCCTCTCCCTGAGCCCAATGCCACCACTAAATTTCCCTCGCAAGTCCTTCCAGCCTTTCATGCATCAATACATCTGCGTGAGCCTGTTTACTCATTCGTACACGAACTTTCGAGCACAGCCAGAAGAATAGCTGTGATTTATGACTCTTTAATGGCTTATGCTGTTCAGGACATATGTTCTATACCAAATGCTGAATCCTATTGTTTTAATAGTATATCGGCTTTCTCTTTATACTCGTTTTACTGGGAAGTTAATGGAAAACCTGCTGTAAGTACTGAAGCAGAGATATTAAAAGAAGTTCCATCCT